AAGTGTTTTACCACTAAGATGAATCCTTAGCCCTTTAAAAACATTTTTTTTAAATTAAAAAGAAATTTTTTTGAGGCCAACCTGGACTATACAGGGAGACCTTGACTCAACAAAAACAAAAACAAAACAAAACCAAAAAAAAAGCTAAACTTTTATTTTGAGACAGTGCTTCTCTTAGTTACCTATCTCACCTCAGTTTTTTTCCTCCCTGGGTACTGTATATCAAACTCAGGATTGTATGCTTGTCAGGCAGGTGCTGGGCCACTGAGCTAAATCCCTAGCCTACCACCTCACATTTGATCCTCACCAGGTGAGACAACCTGGTGTCCGGTGATCCCCATGAACCTACCTTCAAGCCACATGGTCACCAGATAGCTCCTGTTGAGGTGTTTAGCCTCTATCAGAAGCCCAGCAGTAAGGTGGAAACTCTCTCCAAAGTAGAATAGTTATCAGCAGCAGAAGATCTGTGTAGATTTGTGCTTTTTCTAGGCTGTGATGTTTTTGCTGCTTGCTAGAGGCTACATACAGTTTCCTGTTTTGTCACAAACATTTCATGTCATTATTTCTGCTGAATTACAAGTTTAGGTGGTAGAGCAACCTGTACTGCAACCTGAACCTGTTTTGGGGCCTTCTTTCGGGTCCACCCAAAACAGGAGGCTTGATGGCTGATTTAGCAATACAGTGGTTCATGAACTTGATTCTTTCCATGATTCTGGTTGCAAATCAAATTGGACGAGAACCAAATCAAATTCAGTGGTTAAGAGCTTGGGTATGGCAGCACGCTCCTAAAATCCTAGCACTTGGGAAGCTGAGGCAGGAGGATTGCTGTGAGTTCCAAGCCCAGCCTGGCTACATAGTGAGTTCAGGGTCAGCCTGGACTACATGGAAAGACTGTTACTGCCGTCCCCACCTCTCCTCTGTTACAGTCTGGTTCTAGAACACTGGACACTCTTGAGTATGTCATAGGCTGATATATATCCTAGTTATGTCTCAAAAAACAAAAAATTCCAAGGTTCGGTTCAGTGTTGATCTTATGGGGACATTTGATGTGGTTCTTGTCATTTGGTCTGTAAACAGAATCATGAAGAGAATTGAGTTTGTGAACTGAGCTACCACTGTACATAATTAGTAGATTCACATGTGATAGGCATTCGCTAAGATGCAAAAAAAGGCCTACCAGGTGCTGGGCTTTAGTGTGATTGCTACTGAATCCCCAAAGACTTCACTGAGGTGTCGGGCCCCTGAATTTCTATGGCTTTCTTGTACCACCCTTACTAAGGTATCTGAAATACTTGCTATTTCTTGCTCATCAGGTCCACTCAGTATAGTGTCATCCATGAAGTGAACCAATGTGATGTTTCTGGAATGTTAAGATGATCAAGATCTCTGTACTGGACTGTACTGTGGCAGAGAGCAGAATGACAGGGTTCTGAGGCAGTCATGCAAAGGGTCCTGGTGGTCTGGCCAGGTAAAAGCAAATAGTTTCTGGTGATCCTTTGGGAAGGCATAGAGAAAAGGCACCAGTAGTTCAGTGGCTGCATGGCATGCCTAAGGAGGACTGTGACTGTTTAAATGAGGAGACACTATTCAGGAACAGTAGCTGTAACTGGAGTTACACTGAATCAAATGTACTATGCGCCCTAATAATTCTCCACGTGTCAGTCTGACTTTTCTTTTTGGTACTGGGGATTGAACTCAGCCTCGCGCTTGCCAGGTAGGCACTTATGCCGCTGAGCTAAATCCCAGGCCTGAGTCAAAGTTAAGACTTCTGCCCAGGCTGAAAAAGTGAGGTAGATGGGAATGTGGCAAATGCTACCACCTCCACTTCTTTCAGATCTCTGACCCTGGAACTAATCTGCAGTTCATCTTGCAGTGCTATCCTGCTTCAGCTCCCTACTAGGTTTATGATGCCCACATGGGATCTGCTGAGGTTGCAACTCGTTCATGTGTCTGCCCCATGCCCTGCCTTGTGTGACAAGTAGTTTAAGCCATTTTTCATTCAGCGAGTCTGTTGAGTGGGATGACTAAGAACAGAATCGGATTCTGTCCACCTAAATAGCCAGAAGGACTTTTGTGAGGATCTTGACTTCAGAGGAAACCGCAGGAAGGTAAACAGGTACAAATTTCAAGTTTGGCCTCATTTGCATTGCTCTGCAGACTTCCTTGGAAAGACTACAGATCTCTGTGGGACAAAGCTGAGGCCTGGATTCAGAATGCTATGCGGCCTACAGCTCAGCTTGAGGAGCTACGGTGATTGTGATGAAGCGGCAGCAGTTAGATTTCCTGTTCATACAGTGGGTTTCATAGTCCTAAGCAGCGCTGAAAAGAGGATTTGCTAGGATCTGCCCCAGAAACCTGTTGCAGAGGTCCAGAAACCAGTCACCTAGTCTCTCCTTGTTACGGCTTCATCATCTCATCCCCTGACTCTGCAGTCTCCAGCAAATCTGAGTTAGGAAAATACAACCAAGGGAAGGCCCAAGGAGGCAATGCCAGACAAACACTGGTAGCCTGTGCATGGCAGGCAGAGGAAGCCATCTGATCCTGCCTAGGATCAGACTGGTGCAGCTCCCCGCATCTGTTACCCAGAGCAAGCATAGCCTCTGAACCTTGCGCTGTGGTCGATCTCACACACTTCTGCCTCACCCATGGGCGGGAACAAACCTTCCTCACAGAGGAACAGGTTTTCAATAACTAGGATATATATCAGCCTATGACATACTCAAGAGTGTCCAGTGTTCTAGAACCAGACTGTAACAGAGGAGAGGTGGGGACGGCAGGAACAGCAGTCAGAGTAAATAGACAGGAAGGTGACTGTTCAGCATGGAATTAGGAGGATAAAGTGGCAGGCTGGTGTCCACAGTACTCAGACATGAGGTACAGAGGCAAGTTGCCATGTACCCTACTTTCTGGCACCGAAGCCACCTTCTGAGTATTTCTGAGGGTAAATACAACAGGAAATGGTAACCAGGTAACAACTTATACACTGAAAGCCCCAGGGCAGGTGCCCAGTGGTGGACTGCATCAGCCCTAACTACCACATCGCTGACTATGCAGATTTGACATCCTCCTGTGTGCTTTGGATGACATGAATCCTTTATAGTCTTTGACATGACAAGGACTATAAAATGCCAAAAACTCTGCTGCCTGACGGAGGGGCTGAGTCAAAATGCTTATCAGACTGAGACACCTCACATTAACCCGGTGCCCAACCCTATGGCTTAAAACTGAACACCAAGCCCCTCAACCAAGAGCTCTTCTCACAGGCCTCCTCCCACCCTGTGGCGTGCATCTGTACTTTTCTCTTTCAAATGTTTCATCCTGAAGCTGCTTTTGGGTATCTCACTCAACTCCTGATTTAGGACAAGAATCCAGGTGAGGCCCCATACCTGGTAACCACATAGTTCAGACCTGAGAATAGCTCAGCTCCAAGGACACTCTCACCCTGTTTGTAATTCCTTGATTGAGCCTCTTTGGACTTTTTGTACCACCCCTGGTTTCAAATCAGTCTAGCCCATAAATCAGTGCTTTCACTGCTCCAGCTGGAGAAACATGGACTTTATTCTCCAATCCTGTGGAGAGGAAATAAGTTGGTAAGAATCCATCCTAGAGGCCCAGGGGTTTAGCTCAGAAGCACAAGCACCTGCTTGGCAAGTGTGAGATCCTTAATTCGATCACTCAGTACAAAAAAAAAAAATCCATCCCGGAGCAATCCATGTCTACTGACCAGAAGTGAAGGAGACAACCACCTGTGCTCCCCTCCCCTGGTGAAAACATGCAGGTGTCACCAAGGAAGAAGACTGCCAAAGCCGAGATGAACACTGCACAGAGAGTTCCAAGGACAGAGAGGGGACAGAGGGAGGGGGCATGGCCAGGGCACTGGAGTCAAGAGCTGTCAAGAGGATGAAAAAACCAGAAAGGAGTTTGCAAGACTCCAGAGGGGATGAGCCAGGCATTAGGTGTAAGAAAAGCCCATCTCTGGGAACAGACAGGACCATATCTCCACTGGGACTGTATAAGCTGTGGTTATTTTTTAAAAAATTTTTATTTATTGTCTTTTTGAGACAGGATGTCACTATGCAGTGCAGGCTGTCCTTGTAGACCAAGCTGGTCTCAAACTCTCAACGATCCTCCTGCCTCAGCTTCCTGAATGCTTGAATTACAGGTGTGGGCTACCATGCCCATCCTGGGTTTTTTTTTGGGGGGGGTAGTATTTGGTGCTGAACCCAGGATTTTTACACTAAGCTACATATCTAAGCCAGGTGTGGTGGCATGTGTCTGTAATTCTAGGACTCGGGAGGCTGAGGCAGGATTTCTGTAAATTTGAAGCCAACTTGGGCTATGTGGTGAATTCAAGGCCAGCCCAAAACATATCTTGAGACCCTAAATCATCAAAACAAAACAAACCCTACATACCCAGCTCTTTTTTTTTTTTTTTTTTTTTTTTTTTTGGTAAGGCAGGATGCTAAATTGTCCTGGTTGCACTCAAACTTGTGATCCTAGAATTACAGGCATCCACTTCCAGTTCCTACAGCTGGTTTTCAGTTCATCTTTGTCATGATGTGATGGTGGAATATCCATATTGCCACCAACCTTGTGGAGGACAATTGGTTTGTAAAGCTCTGCCCAGGTAGCCAGGTGTGGTGGCACACACCTGTAATCCCAGCACTCAGGAGGCTGAGGCAGGAGGATCATTGTAAGACCAGCCTGAGCTACAAAATGAGCTTAAGATTAACCTGAACTGCATCGTGAGACTCTGTCTCAAAAAGAAAAGAAAGAAAAGCTCTGCCCAGAAGAGGCTACCCTACCCCATGACAGACCCCAGTGTGAGAATAATCCATGTTTACAAAAACCCTGGACTTTACATTGTCTAGGGTGAGCTCCCAGGAAGAGCTCTGAAGTTCTACAACCAAGAAGCTATTTTAATGTAGAGAAAAATTTAAAAGTTGTATTTCCAATACTAAAAATACGTTTTTTAAATTTTAAAAACAAAAAAGAAAAACGATACAAAATTTCAAAACAAAAAAGGAGATCAACACTAGTTAATATACTGCGTATTGTTATCTTCAAAGTAGTGGTTTAGATTAAAGATATAGGCATAAAAAAATGATCACACATCCAACAATGAAAGCATATTTCCAACACTGTTCAAGGGTGAGACAAGAGATACAGCCTGTATCTATGGCTAGAAAGCTACATACTTAAAAAGCCCTGACACTTCGAGTGCCAATTGCAAGGTAAATGTAGCTCAGACAGGAAAAAACGTTTCTCTTACTTCCAAGTCCCAGAGGCTGTAATTCAAGGACACCTATGCGCTGTCTCAGACAATGATGGATTCTTTCTCTATGTTGTATGTATTAATCTCAAATATTTGCTGTTTCTGTAAGAGTAAATTCTGCCTAGCAATTGATTTGTAACCAACCATAAGATATTATATTATCTGCCTTATGTACTTCCTGCTTGCAAAACTACAGAAACAAACCCCAAAGCTGTCTTAGGGCTGATGATCTGGAACCGAGATTCCCTTCAGCCCGCTAACGTAATAAAACTGTGTGTCTTCTAAAGTTCCCTCTGGTGCTGTCTTCTATCGATCATGCTCCTGAACACCGTAATAAGAGAAAGCGACTGAACTGGACAGCACCGGCTAAGATTCAAACTTCTGACTCAGACCTCGGGCATTTGAAACTCCTGGGGAAAACGCGCCAGGGTGCTCAAGCAGCTGTTTGGGAGAGGAGGTGGTGTGGTGTTCCCATGAACACCAAAGGCAACACTGGAAAAACCAGAGCTGCTTTGGGTGGAGGAGGATGCCAGCGGCCTGACCCTGCTGTCTCCAGAGTGGTTGTGGGGCACCCAAGACTGCACATCCGAGACCTAGCCGCGATGCATCAACACACACCCACGGCCTCCAGCGGCACACCGAGCTAGCATGCGATGCCGACTCCACGTCTGGCGCACACCCAGCGACAATCTTTCCCAAGCCTCCCAAACCGCCCCGTAAGCGCGACGAGACGCTAGGGGCGCGCCCGGACACCTCTGCGGGGGAACCTTGGAGCGGAACGGCGGGGGTCGGGGAAGACATTCTCCGCGGCACGGAGGCGGAACTCTCTCGCCTCGCGAGCCTTCTCCACTTGGGTCTTCGGGAGCCTGAGTAGCCCGCTGGACGCGACTGGGGAACAGAAGCCAACCACCTACAACTCTGGAGAGTCGGAAGCCACTGCGTAGTCAACAACCAGAAGTCCCGCCCCTACATGAGCGACCTGGCCAGGGCCTCCTGGGCCGTCATTGGTCCGTCTGTACGGACGCCAAGCGGAATGCTTTATGGGAAATGTAGTTTGCATGTGACCTCCTGCAGCTAGCCTGCCCACCCTCCATTGCCTCGGCAACGACCAGGAGCTTTGCAGGGTAGCGGGGAGATGACTTTAGCCACTGGCTGTAGGCGCTACGCGGGACTTCCGGTGCGGCGGGCGTGTTTTCTGTCAGCTGTGGGCGGTGGGTTCCTGGACTACGTCCCAGGTCGCCCGGGTCAGGAAAAGGTCTCGCCACCGTACCTCTGCCGGCGCCGCTAGGACTGCGTCTACCTGAGACTCGGGGTCACGCTCAGAGTGGTGCCGCGAGGCTTCCGGAGGCGCGGGTCCAGCTTTCGCTAGCCGCGTTGCTCAGAAGGATGGCGTTACCCGTCCCGCGCGCAGGCCCCATGGTCAACGCGGCACAGGTGAGCGCGAGTCGCCGGGCCGGGGGGAGGGGGCTCAGGCGGGATTCGGCAGGCGGGAGCTAGGACGGGGCCCTTGCTGGGCCGTCGCGGCAGTGTTGCCTGGGACACCCAAGGGCCCCTTGCCCCTCTGAGGTGAAGATCTGGGTTGAAGGAGGGCCGGGGCTGGGGCGGGGCCCTTAGGGAGCGACGCCCAGTGGGCGCCTGCAGGATCCTAAGCACAGGTCGTCAGTCCGCATCTGTGTGTTTTCTGCCCGCCGTTGACCTCATCTCAGCCAAACCCGTCACTGCAGAGCTCGGTGGTGTTCGAGGATGTGGCCCTCCGATTCTCCCAGAAGGAATGGGGGCTCCTCAGTTTGGCGCAGAGGAGCCTGTACCGTGACGTGATGCTGGAGAACTTCGCACTCATCAGCTCGCTGGGTAAGTCCCTGAAATCGGACAGCCTGTGCTTCCTTCCCGGGAGAAGGTCTGTCCACACCAGACATCTTCCTGGTTCTCTGCAGTAAGTATTGTAGGTGCCAGGACTGGGCCGTGTGTCTTCCTGCCTCTCTCAGAGCAGCCCTATTTAGCAGCCCAAACATCTGTTTTTTTTCTTAAGGGGCTAATGGAGCAGGATTCGTGGGTCAGTTGTTGCACAGATTGGCCATCAAATTTCACTCAGCTCTGCGTCCTGCGTTCTGTGACTGTGCTGAAGACATGACTCCTGTGTGCTCTAGATTTTGCTTTCTTCCTCCAAAAGATATTTTACAGAGCCCTCCCTGGACCAGCCTTGAACCATAAGTTTGAATCTGTAGATCATTGGAGGCACTACTGCCATCTTAGGTCTTTTAGATCAAACATGGTATTTCTTTCCATTAATGTAGCTCTTTAAATTTTTTTCTACACTATCTTGTACTTAAGTGTACAGAATGTCTATTTTTATGTGTGTTATGTGTAGTACTGGGGATTAAACACAGGGCCTTCACACTGGGCTACAGGGCTACATTGCCAACCCGTTTTCTTCTTCTTTTTTTTTTAAAGACAGGGCCTTGCTATGTAGTTTAGGTTGACCTTGAACTCCAGTTGCTCCTCCTGCCTCAACCTCCTGAGTTCTGAGATTACCCTTTTGTTCCTGTTTTTTGAGATAGAGTCTCATTAAATTACCGAGTTGCCCAGGTAGGACTCCAGTTTATAATCTTCCTGCTTCAACCTTGCACAGTGCTGGGATTACAGGCATACACCACCGTGCCTGATTTATTTTCTTTTTTGAGACAGTGTCTCCATATGTAGTTCAGGTTGGCCTTGAACTCCTGTGTAGCCCAAGCTAATTTTGAAATGGTGGTGATCCTCCTGCTGGAATTGCAGGTGTGCACGAACATGCCTTGCTGTTTTCTTAATTTTATTTTAGAATGTTCATTGGTGGTTGTAGAAATACATTTGATTTTTGTATATTTTGTATCTTGAAACCTTGTTGAATTTTTAGTTCTAATAGTTGTTTAATGGGTTCCTTAGTATTTTCTTTTTATAGAATTTTGTCACTCATGACTAGAGGTAGTTTTACTTCTTCCTTTGCCTTACTGACTGAAATCCTGGGGTAGAATCCTTGTTTTGATCTTAAGGGAAATGCATTGTTTTCACTGTTGATGTTAGGTGTTTGTGTTTTTGCAGGTGCCCATTTTATATGCAGAACCTTGTTTCCTTTCCTAGTTGGTTGAGTACATTTGTCATGAAAGGTCATTAGATTTTGTCAAATACTTTTCCCACATTTGTTGAAATAATCATGTGATTTTTGTCCTTGTTCTTTGAATTGGTATGTGTTCAGCTTTGCATTAATAGGATAAATTTCTTCTGTCATGGCATATAACATTTTTATGTGTTACTGGATTTAGATTACTAAAACTTTGAGAATTTTTGCATTGTATTCATGGAACCTATCAGTAGTATAGTTTTCTTGTAACATAAGAGGGTAATTTTAAGTATGAAAGTAATTTTTTTTTAAATTTTTTTCTTTTTTATCAGTACCAGGGATCGAACTCACGACCACACACTTGCAAGGCAGGCGCTTATGCCGCTGAGCTAAATCCCCAGCCCCAGTAATTTTGGTTTTGATGACAAGGTGGGAAATGTTTTCTATTTTCAGGAAGAGTTTATGAAGTGTTGGTATTATTTCTTACTTTTAGAGGGCCAGGGATTTAAGCACAGGATCATGAGTTGGATCCCCGGTAGCCCCCCCCCCCCAATTCTTACTTTAGTACTATTAGTATTCATCATTGAAGCCATCTGGACCTGGTCTTTGTGTTGAGGGGGGACTTTTTTAAACAACAGAATTCTTTAGGTTTATTTATTTATTTGTTTTACAAGTGAGGTTTTTTTGCATTAAAAAGTTTTATTGGTATATTTTAGATGTACATAATGATAACATTAATCATAAAGAATTTGTACCTGTTCGTAGTATATCTTGCTTCTTATTTGTTCCCCATTTTTCTCCCTTCCCTAAGTTTATTTATATTTTCTATTCTTCTTCAGTCAGTTTTGGTAGTTTGTTCCCTGACAGAAGAACAGAGTGCCTTGACCACTGGGACACCCAGCCAGCCGCAGGTTTTCCCAGCAGGTTTCAGCCCAAGCCAGGACCTTGACCACAGGAACTGACAAAGGTATTTAAGATGTTGCCAAAACACTGGCAGAAACTGGCCCTGGCCCTTAGCCTGAGTCAGTTATGGAAAACCTTTTAGAGCTTTCAGTGATACAAACAGCCTGCTGTGGCATGCATGCATAGGTTCTCCACACTGGCCTAAGTTCTCAACCCTAATAGCACCCTGATTCCCTCACTGCGGACCTGTCTAGGTGAGACATCTTTCTCTTGCCATCCTCCTGAAGCTATACTTCAGGGTCTGTAAACACTTTGGACTAATCACCTAGGACTGTAGTGTTTCTTTCTTTCTTTCTTTTTTTCCTTTCTTCTTTCCTTCCTTTCAAGACAGGATCTCATATGCAGTTCAGGCAGGCCTTGAGCTCACTTTGTAACCCAAAGTGGCCTCAAACTTACAATGATCCTCCTGCCTCAGCCACCCAAGTGTTAGGAATACAGGCATGCGCCACTACCCCCGGCTAGTGCTTCTTTCTTTGGAACAGGCCTTTATTCAAACTCCCCTATCACAGCTTTTGGGGTGATTCTAGCTTCAAGTTTGGCCAGATAAAACAATTCTTATGTGTTCATTTCCTGCCTCTCCCTTTCCTCTGTTTGCTCTCTTTCACATCATCTAGCTCAGTAATGGTGAACCTTTCAGAGCTTTCAGTGATGTGAACAGCCCGCTGTGGAATGTGTGCTATAGGTTTGCTACCACTAATCTAGGTATAGGTTTATCACCTTGCTGATTTTTAGAAGGATCAAATTTGGGTTTTGTTAATTTTATTTTTTTATTCTGTATATCATATATTTCTTGGGTTTAGTTATTTTTCTTATTCTTTGAGGTTTAGTTACGTTATTAGAGATCTTTTAATCTTTTTGTTTACTTATTTATTTTTGCTGTGTAGTCCTCCAAAGTGCTGGGATTAGGCATATGCCACCACACCTAGTTTTTTTTTTTTTTTTCCATTTGTTTTGAGACATGGTCTCAATGTAACCCAGGCTAGCCTCCAACTCATGATCCTCCTGCTTTAGTCTCAAGAGTGTTGAGATAACAGGCAGGCAAGAGGCAACATGACAGGTGAGATCTTTTATTGGGTATTTGAGGGTAGGAATGTGGCTCAGTGGCAGAGTACTTGCTTAGCATATGTGAGGCCCTGGGTTCAATCCCCAGCATTGCAAAAAGAAAAAGAAAAAAAAAGGAAGAAATATGGTTGTTTGTATTTCCTTTCTTTGGTTGCTTTGGCAAAGCAACCAAACTCATAACTTTTGATGTGTTGTATTTTCATTCTCACTCATCTCAAAGTACTTTGGGCCAGAGGTTTAGCTCAGTGGCGTAAGCACCTGTCTGACAAGCGTGAAGTCATGAGTTTGATCTCTGGTACCACAAAACAAGCAAACAAACAAACAAAAAGAATATTGGCAAAGACTTTGTAACTTTATGTGATTTTTTTTCTATCCCTTTTGGTTACTTAGGAGTATTTTGTTTAAATTCCATAAATTTCTCTTTGTTTTAATTCCTTTGTGAACAAAGAATATACTTTGTATGGCTTCAATTCTTTTTTTTTGGTACTGAGGATTAAACTCATGACCTTGTGCTTGCCAGGCATGCGCTTACTCCACTGAGCTAAATCCCACGCCCCACAAGACTTCACGTTTTTAAAAGTCTATGGAACAGCCAAGCGTGGTGGTGCACCCCTATAATCTGAGCAAGAGGCTGAAGCAAGAGGATCCCTGTGAGTTCGAGACCAGCCTTGGCTGCATAGTGAGTTTGAGATCAGCCCGAACTGCATAGTGAGACCCTATCTCGAAAAAACAAAACAAAAAAATGTCTGTTGAGGATTGTATGTCCTAGTAAATGGTTTATTCTTGGGCTAGTTTCATATGCATGCAGAGATACGCAGGTTACATGGGCCTGCTGTGGGTAGTTAACATGTTCCATAGACGTTGCCAGGACTAGCTGTTTTCCACTGTTGACCAAGCTGCTATGTTCTCATTTTCTTCTTCATGGTTTTACCCATTACTAAAAATGAAAAATTGAAATCTCAAATAATTATTGTTAAATTGTCTTTCTTATGTCAGTTATGCCAATTTTGCTTTGTAAGAGAGCTTTTTTTTTGTTTTTGTTTTTTGTAAAACAAATGTCAATTTTACACATACACATATTCCGTTAGGGATTAAACTTCATTTGTTTTGTTTTTTGTTTTGAGATGAAGTTAGGGTTGGGGTTGACCAAAATAGGCTCAAACTTGGATCCTTCTGCCTTTGCCTGTCACAGTTTTGGGTTTACAGTTGTGCCTTTGTGTGTATACTGGGTTTGATGTTGTAGTTAGCAACTTCACTTCATTTTCCATCTTCTCCCTCTAGACACTGCTGTCTTGCCATCTCTATTGTATGATTCTCAGGCTCTGGATTGGCCACTTTGCCTTATTTCTCACTTTCTGTTTTTTTGTTCTTGGGCATAGCTGTATGCTAGTGACTATTCTGTGTGTGACACAAGATATGTATGTATCTTTAAATAGTACTTGAACACAGGCTGATGCTTAAATAGTACATGAACACCATTTACTTTTTTTTTTTTTTATTTTTTTTTTATTGGTACTGGGGATATTGGTACTGCCTGCTTGCAAGGCAGGTGCTTATGCCACTGAGCTAAATCCCCAGCCCCCTCAGTTACTATTTTATAGTCAAATTTTGCTAGGACTAAATGTTTGCCTTTTCACAATGCTTGATTACTGACAAGAGCTACTGAGTCCCTGCTGAAATCTCTGCAGATTTTCAGAGATCCTACATCTCTTTCCTGCCCTGCCCACCACTGGTCTGTTTGTTTAGTATTGAGGATTGGACCCAGGGCCTTCTTGCTGAGCTGCATACACAGTCCTTTCTTATTTTGAGACATGATCTTGACAGGTTGCCCAGGCTGGGCTCAGACTTGCAGTCTTTGGTCCTCAGCTTTCTGGAGTGATGGGATTACAGGCATGCACCACCATGCCCAGCTCTGTTTTTGTGTCTTCATTTCAGTTCAAGTCATTCCTACTTTGTAGTTGGTAGAGCTCAGGTCTGCTGGCTCAGCAGAGACTTACCCAGATATTTCTGGGTGACCTCCCAGCGATCCATGGAGCTTGTCCCACAAGGATAATGTAAGTAACTTCCTTCTTTCAGTTCCGTTTGAGTAACTGACTTCTTTGCTTTCAGGTTGCCTGTGTAGAGTGAAGGATGAGGAATCTTCTCCCAAGCAGGTGAAGAATTCTGGAATCCATGTGGGAGAGCAGCTTTGCACATGTGGAGAGCAGGGTGCCAACCAAGCCACTACAGGCCTGCTCCAACCTCCAGCTCCCCTCAGTGATGGGAAGGTGTATGGGAGCCTTGAGCACAAGCCAGCCCTCCCCAGCCACAGTCATGAGCCACAGCATGGTGTCCACGCCATGCAGAAACCCTTTAAGTGCAGTAACTGCAGAGAAAGGTTCTTGAAGGCCTTTGCTGTCCTTAACCACCTGATAGCCCACCCTGAGGAGAGACATTTCCGATGCCCAGCAGGTAAAAGTGCCCCTACTAAGAACTTGATCCACCCTGATGACCAAAAAGACCCCCCTGAAGAAGATGCCCATGTGTGTGGTGAGTGTGGGAAAGCCTTTAGCTATGCATCCAAACTGAGGAAGCACCGGAAGATTCACACGGGCATACGGCCTTTCCAGTGCAGCGACTGTGGGAAGACCTTTAGCCGCAAGGATGCTCTAGCGCTGCACGAGAGGACTCACACTGGAGAGCGACCATATGAGTGCAGCAGGTGTGGCAAGGCCTTTAGTGTGCTGTCCACCCTCATTCGGCATCGAAAGGTCCACCTCGGAGAAAGGCCCTACGAGTGCAAGGAGTGTGGGAAGTTCTTCAAGTACAGTAAGAGCTTTGTTCTTCACCAAAGAGTCCATACTGGAGAGAGGCCCTTTGTATGCGAGCATTGTGGGAAAACCTATGTGACCCGCTCAGGTCTGTACCAACACTGGAAGGTCCACACTGGAGAGAGGCCATATGGGTGCAGCCTGTGTGGGAAAACCTTCACCACTCGTTCCTACCGTAATCGGCACCAGCAGTTCCACACTGGGGAGAGGGCCTATGCGTGTGCTGAATGTGGGAAAGCCTTTAAGCACAGTTCTTCCCTCCACCAGCACCATAAAATCCATACTGCAGAGCCCTGTGGAAGCCAGCACTGGCAGAAAAGCCATCAGCAGCTGGCAGCTGCCTCAGCAGGAGAAACCTCATTGCCAACAGGAGAGGGGGAAAACAGCCTTCATGAGGGTGCCATCTGAAAGAAGTGAGGCTTTCTACATCCACATGCCACCCTGTATTCCACCTGACCCTGGGAAAGTCCACACATGCCACCTATGTGGGGAACTTTGGGAGCTACACAGCATTCTGTGCCTGCCCAAATTGCTGGTGGTTATATATCAGTGCCAGCTCCTGCAACAGAAAGCATCCCACCTCTCCAATGCTAGGCAGGTCCCCACTGTGCATGTCAGTCACCCCTGTCTCCAGGTAATCTAGCCCTATCCCCTCCATAGGAGTGAATTGTGAATGGTGGAGCCCATGACAGGCCTCCTTTTCTTCCTCATGACTGGGAGGCATGGACAGGACCCCATGCTGCCCATGAGGAGCTGAGCCATCCTCTTGGAAGCTTCCATACCTGGCTTACCATTTTTGTGGACACTGTTGACACCACTTGTGGTCCTTGTTCACCATGGTAGAGGATACTTCCTGCTGCTTGGGAAATGTGACAATAAAAGCCTAGTTAAGTCACATTTTGTACTTGGGGTTCTGATTCCTGTATGTGTGTAGGGGCTCTGTCACTGTGAGTAGAAGGAATTGCTTTTCTGGGTACTTGGACTCTTGTCTGTCTGGATGGAGACAGCAGAGTGATAGACAACCACTGTGGTCGAGGCCAGCCAGACTGTTTGGGCTGTCTGTGGCAGTTTACCATGGTCCTAGGACTAAGCAAGAAGACCATACACTTGTGGGATGTGGCTTCTGTGACCCAACTGGGGCTCCAGGGTCTCTGTGTGATGTGTTAGGATTACTGCACCACTGGGCCTGGTACTACTCACCATCATCAGCTGTTTACTGCACATACGTCTGGCTGGTGTAAGTATTCACCAGGAAGCCATGAAGGAGGTCATGTGAAGCTTGCTAGTAAGAGTCAGCCAAAGGACTTTTTTAGGATGCGAGCAGAGGGGTTCTCAAGGCCCACAAGATAAGATTTGGCAACCATCTTTCTTCCTTTTTTTTAAAGACAGGGCCTCGCTGTGTAGCCCAGGGTGACCTCAAACTCAGTAAAGCTATGCCTCAGCCTCCTGAGTGCCCACCATGGACAGCCTCATCTTTAAAGAGAGAACTACCCATAAACCAAGCCAAAGAGCCAGCTGCGTGAGGGCTGTGGTGAGGTGAAGCTTGTCACCCAAGGGTTTATGTGCTGGAGTCTTGACTGCAATGCAGCATCACTAAGTTAAGGTCTAGTGGGAAGTTATTAGGTCATCATGGGCCTCATTCTTGGAAGGGATTAATGCTGGCCATAGGTGTGAGCTGGTTCTTACAATGAGCTGCGACAGAAAGTGAGGCTGGACCCCATATGATTTCTCCTGCATAGTGTGACTTGCATGTGAGACCAGAGCCCAAACTTGCAGCCTTCAAAACTGACCTGAATAGACCTCTTCAGGCTGAGCACAGTGGCCCATGTCTGTAATCTAAGCTATTGGACAGGTTGAAGCAGGAGAATCCCAACTTGCAAGCCAGCCTGGGAAATTTAGTGAAACCTCTTAAAAAATAGAAAGGGGTGGGGATGTAGCTCATGTCTGGGGTCCCCAAAACTATAAAACAACTCTTTAAAAGCACTCAATTACAGCTGAGGGTTTAACTCAGCCGCACAACTACCTGCCTAGCAAGCGCAAGGTCATGAGTTTGACCCCTGGAACCAAAAAAGAAAAACAGCACCCAACCACAATATTTCAGCAACAGAAAACACATTAAAACAACAGGAGAAAGTCCATTTGATCTCATTGAACCCTAGGTCCATTTGTGCCTAGAAGAGGTCTGGACTTTCTGGAACCAGTACTATAAAAAATTTTACTTTGCTGGAAGCCAGTTAATCTGATTCTTTTTTTTTTTCCTTTTCAGTATTAGCAGTTGAACTCGGCCTTGGGTGATAAGTGGTCTGCCACACAGATACACTTCTAGCCCTTTTTGAGACTGGGTCTTGCTGATGTACCCTGACTGTCCTAGAACTCATCATGCTGCCTCAACCTCCTGAATGGCTGAGATTACAGGCATGTACTATTATGGACAGTTTTGGATTGGGTGCAAATACCCCGAGGAGAATTCTGCCAGCCTTGGATCTCTTCTGTACACCTTCTCCCAGGAGCATTTAAGGCAGAACTTCCTGGGGTCCAGCACAGTCTTGAGTATCACATCCACAAATGAGTCCTAAATTGGTCATTGGGTAGTTGGTTTTTTGGTTTTGTTTTTGAGGCAGAGCGTCTGTGTAGTACACAGACTTATGTGGGATAGGCTGGAGTCGAACTCAAGGGGATCCTTCTGCCTCAGCCTTCTGAGTGCTGGGATTACAGATGCATGCCACCATGGCTGGCAGGTCAGGGTTATGGCTCACCAGTTAAACTTATTCCAAGTCCTTCTTGCTTCAAACAAAGAATTGAACAAGATGATAAACAGTGGTGCCAAAAGTTTATTTGAAAAGTGAGAGGTGATAGAGTAAGGAAGAAACTGGCCCTGCAGAGTAAATATGGGCTGAACAAGAGAAGAAAAGAGAAAAAACAGGGCTGGGGATTTAGCTCAGTGGCATAAGCACCTGACTGGCAAGTCCAAGGTCTTGAGTTCAATCCCTGGTACCGCAAAAATGAAAGTGCACCCTAGGTATAGGAAATAGGGTTGGCTAGCATAAAGAGTTACAATAGTGGGTTGCCTATCCCTTTTTTAGTCATATACATCTATGAGAATCTGCAAGAAGTTCTACATAAATGGTCCTTTTCTCGGATCTCGGGTTTTGTTTTTAGTTTTTTTGCTTTTTGAGACAGGGTTCCACCAAGTTCAGGCTGGTCTTGAACTCACCTTGTAGCCCAAGCGAGCCTCAAACTCCCAGAGATCCTCCTGCTTCAGCCACCCAAGTGTTGGGATTACAGGTGAGCACCACCACTGATGGGCTGTCCTGGGATCTTGTAATTAACAAGTCCCACTTATTTCTCCATGTCACTTTGCCATGCCCTACCTTATATCTCAACACCAATACAGAGGCTGGGCATTTGTCCTTCTGAAATCAGCTCCAGCCCTGGCCTCCATGTTGAAGTTAGCTCATCTCAGGGCTTCCTGTGGGGCCCCAGATTGCTAAACCAGCACCATCAACTCCCAACCTTAATCCTGCTTTCCTATGACATGGGTGCAGGACTTCATACAGCTCCTTCCTATCAGGGGTCACTCTTAGTGATTTCCTTGGTGAGGTCTTCCCAGCCAATGTAAACTAAGGTCTGTTGCTTTCAGTCCCTTCAGAATTCCAGCTTCAATCAGAAATTGCCCTGATCCCAGGTTCATGTGTATGTTAATTTTTACTGCATTCTTGGCTGAGATAAAATACGTTTCCTGCTGTCAACAAGCATGACCTGCACACTGTCTGGCCCTGGGGGCATTTGTCAAGTGTGTGGTTCCTCTACAAGACCCCAGCTGAGCCTAGACCTAGATCCGCTAGGGGGATCATCAGCTGACCTAGTGGAGGGAGGAAGGAGGGTAGCAGAGGGAAAGGAAGTATATACGTCTTCTAGGCCTGAGTCTGTGTTCATATTTATCCCACACCATGAGTTGACAGGTGACTGGGAGATTAAACTGAACCAATAAGACAAGACTTTTTGTTTCTGGTACTCAAGATGGAACCCATGGCTTCTGCACTGAGCTGCATTCCCAGCCATTTTATTTTTTTATTTTGTATTTTGAAACAGAGTTGCTAAATCACCAAGTTGCCCAGCCTAGTCTCACATTTGGGATTCACAGACTTCAGCCTCCCAGAATGCTGTGATTGTTTAGGCATCATCAACACTGGTGATTTTGGCAGCTTGAGTTCTTACTGAAATGTTTTTAAGCCAGGTGTGGTGGCTCACGCCTGTAATTCCAGTGACTGAGTGATTTGTACTCAATCTAGAGCAGTGTAGAATAATTATTAAAGAGGAGACAAGTAGGTAAGAAGAGTTTAATGAGGCAGAGGCATGGAGTGAGTCACCACAGAGAAGGCTGTGGCAGCTCTTTCAGTCCTTTTAAAGGGAGCAGGTTCTGCCTGATACAGCCTCTGATGGGGGTAGGGCTCTGGGGACTGTTGTGAGCTGATTTATTTTGTGAGAGTGAAAGGGATTGGGTAAACCTTTACATGTCTGAGCTTTGGCAGACTTTTGGGAGGGGAAAGCTATAGGGGCTCTTGGGAAGAAGGAGGTAAGTCTTATCAGGACACAGTTTTGAACCATTGTCATGTGCTGTCTCAGACAGGGGATCTAACATTCTTATCTCTATGATGTTAGGGGGTGTTGTTGAGTCGCTCTGGCTGCTTCCTGCTGTGGGGGGCAATGTTGGGTCCTAGGGTAGAAGGGAATAGGATCAAGGGGTCTGTTCCATCTGAGTTTGTGAGGTTGAGATGTCATGTCACTCAGTAGTAAGATTTCTTTGGTAGTGAACCCCTGTATTTTGGCTTGGATAAACCACAAGCGGAGCCTGAAGGCACAGGGAGCAAAAAGCAAAAAATTATTATAGTAATTAGGGGACCCATAATGGGCATTAAGATGGGAGCCCATGTGTCTAGGTGGCCCCACCATGATGACCAAGAGATAGATTTTTGAAAAGCAGTATCTGCTTCATATATCAGTTGCCAATATTTTGAATTTTGTACCTGGTCTTTTACTATATCTGATTGCCTAACAAAATAAGTGTTCTTCTTCCAACATGGCATAGTATCCCCCTTTTATTGCTGTGAGAATAATGAGTGCCCTCCTGACAGAGTAGTTGGAAAACTACTGTTGCCAGTGAGTTTATTTGATCTTGGAGTGAATTAACATTCTGGGAGACTGATTTTAGGGTAGACATAACCAGAAGCTAGGGTCTAAGATATTTGAAGCACATAAAAGTTGAAAAGGTTTGTTTAAAAGTTGAGATAAAGGAAGGGTTGTGAGATGTGTGTCTCTTAAGAGTGGAGAACGTGTTAAGAATTGAGATGTGAGGACCTATGTGTTGGGGAGCAGTTGTTGTGAAGAGTTATAAGTCTAGAGGCAGACGTGACATTGACTGTGAAGAAATAGTGGGAATGTTTTTGGATTTTTTTATGTGAATATGTAAGACCTCTATCTAGAATATACCTGTAGTAGTTATATTTATATAGATGTAGTCATCATGGCAGAGGTAAAATTGAGGAGCATAGGTTGTCCATTATGGTAACCTATAATAGTGAACACACTCGAAGGGAAATCAAATATTAGAGGTCTTGAAGTCTGATTGGTTTGAGCAATAGTTGTGTGGGAAGGGCTCGCTGATCCCCAATGTTTAGTCAGGTAGAATTAGTATATTTTGGGGTGTCTTGAGTGTTGTAGGATTGGGTGAAAGAATAGGTTGAGGTAGAGTAGGAAACCTATCATGTTGACTAAGGCAATTGAGGAATGTAAACATTAAGATTATTAATACAAAGAGTACGATAATTGTAAGCCTTTGGAGAATGGTATTTTTTTTTTTTTTTGGAGTAGAATTTTAGAGCGCCTGTGAGGAAG